GAGGGTGGGCCAACGATGCTCTACGGCAGGGCGGTGTGCCCGCGTTGTTTCACTCAGGTGGCTGGCGCGGATTAGCCGCGTTTGGCTACGCATCAGCGCAGACGAAAGGGGGAGTCGTGGCCGCAAAGTGGGCCGCTGATTTTTCGGATTCGTCAGACAGCGGCGTCGTGGACTGTTGAAAGGAAAAAAAATGATTCTGCCGCGTCGAGGCCAGCGCTTTTCCAACGGGCGCGTGTGTGAAGGCTCGGGCCGCCGACATTGGGGTCCGGAGTGACGGGCGAGTCGAGCCTCAACAATGGGCAGCCTCGCTTGGGGGCTTGCTCGCCCGTCACGCCGGCAGCGCCTTTTCCGCTGTCCCAACGCAGGCGCGCCCACCCCAACGGAGGCAGTGAGAAAATTTTCTTACCCCCTAAAGGTTCTTTCGTGGGGAGGAAAATCGGCGTTTCGGCCGTAGTTTCCCACGGTTGATCGTTTGGTCCGTTTGGGAAGTTTCATGGTTTCCTCATGGCCTGGTTGGCTCCAGTAGGAGCGGCGGCGTTGGCGCGTGTCGTCGGGGTTTTGTGGTTTGCCGCCCGGCGCGGGGGCGGGGTAGCAAGTTCCCGGCGTCCTCGTCGCCACGTTCGCCGTGGCTACGCAGGCGCGCTCCTGGCTGACTTGGTCTGTCCAGTGCGCGTGCCTCGTCTGTCCCTGCGGGGTATGCCGCGGCTCTCTGCCGGGCTGGGGCTCTGGGCCCCGGCGGCTTTGATGCTGCCGCTTTTGCCCTCCCGCCCTCCCTGGTCTGGTGGGTGTGGTTCGCTGGTGGCCGCACAGGCAGCGGTGTCTGGTTGGGGTGTGGGTTCGGCGTGTCGGGCAGCCTCACTTGGGGGCTTGCTCGCCCGTCACGCCGGCAGCGTCTTTTCCGCTGTCCCAATGCAGGCGCGCCCACCCCAACGGAGGCAGTGAGAAGATTTTCGGCCTCCTATCGTCTCACCAACCCTTCCTTCTTCCTTCCCTCTCCTCCTCCCTCCTCCTTGTGTGTTCGCTCGCCACGGACGCACAAACACCCAGCACCAGTGACGGAAGATGGGCGGGCGGAGTGAGCGAAGCAATCGAACAGAAGGAAACTGGCCAGGGCTGGAAAGAGTGGGAGGGCCGGCCCGAGTTGCTTCCCCCAGCTTCCATGCAGCCAGGACGCCTCGCCAACCGCTTCACGCGGAGGGCCACCTCCGCCAAGAGCCGAGAGCGCCCCCGCCTCGACTCGCACCTGGCCGTGCTGCGGGCCCGCGGGCCGGCGCGTGGCGGAGCGAGGCGGGCGGCGTTCTGCGACGGTGACTTCGGGGGGGACGTGCGGATCGACGGCAGAGGGAAGCAACGCGTGGACACTCCCCCGCTCCCCCAGAACTCAAAGTCGGCACGCGCGGGGCAGACTGTGGTCGAAGTGCAGCGCGCTCAACCCACCGAAAGCATTGTGATCCTTGGGGGGGGCATGGACGGATGAATCCGACACGAGTGCTCGCAAAATTCTTCCGAGGCCTGGATGACCCTCAGAACGTGTGCAAGCGCCAACGTTGAGCAGGGACCGACCGTCCCGGCATTCCTATAGTCCTACCACGAACTGTTCTTAGAACCCACAAATGTTCTAAGAACAAGCACAATGTTCTTAGAACATAAAACCGATGTGCTAAAACAAGACAGTATCGGCCAGACATGCTCTAAGAACATGTCGTGGAAACCACAGAAGGCTTTTAGAACATTGTTTGGTAGGGCTATAGGCGAGCCATGGCGCTTCGCCACTGTCTGACAACGTGTGCTTGTCCGTCGAGACCCTTCGATGCGCCGCAGGCGGTGCAGTGGTCTATCGGTGGAGCTGAAGCCCATACACTGGGTGCTGCTAGAGGTCCCCCTGGCCAAAGGTACCCCCCAGGATTCTCGGCGTGGCCCAGACGGCCTCCGGGGCACCCCTCACGACGCCCAGGGGGCCCCAGGGGCTCCAAAATGGAGCGAAAAGCTGGGGGCACCTTGGGCCAGGGGCACTTCTAGCAACACCCGAATACACGCCGGTCGGAAGAAGTGGGTAGAAACATGAAGTAGGACGGCGGATGAAGTGGATTGGGCCAAGACCCTCTCAGAGAAGAAGAAGAAGAAGAAGAAGAAGAAGAAGAGCAAGACACAGCAAAAACATGCCGATTCTTGAAGTAGGAAGGCGTTTGAAATAGATTGGGATCTGGGGATCCAAAAATACCTACTTTCGACGACCGGCGTGTGCCCCCGACGTCATGCCTTTCTCACAACGTCGACCCCCCGAGGCCTCGACCCGCTCCCTGGGCGAACCGAGGCCCGGCATTGGCCCGCGGAGGCCGAAAGTGGCGCAGCACCTCCTGCCGTGATCTTCCACGACGCGAGGGGGTCTGGAGAAACCACATTGGCACCGATACCGCTGCAACCCGAACCTCCTGATGGGCCTGTTTTCCAGTACCACCACCATCAGTGGATGGGGACATGGGGTCCTCCTCCCCCTCCTCCTCCACCTCCCCCTCCACCTCCTCCTCCTCCTCCTCCTCCTCCTTTTCGTCCTCCTCCACCTCCCCCTCCACCTCCTCCTCCTCCTCCTCCTCCTCCTCCTCCTCCCCCTTCTTCTCCTCGTCCTCCTCCTCCTCCTCCCCTCCTCACAGCTTATGGTGGCGGTGGTGGAGGACAGGCCCATCACCTCTCCCGGGGTGCGTTCGGACCAGGATTCCGAGGCGACCCCGGCCGTGGCGACGAGGGGCCTCCCAGGAGGCCCGACACGCGGAAGGGTACCGGGTATGGGGCACCCTTTCCTCCTTTGGGGGGACACGCGCCCTGGGCTGGCATCAGGTCGGGCATGTGCTCCTACAGGCGGATTGGGGCAGACAAGTGAAACATTGTCGAAACATGCTGTTGAAGAAGCAGCCCGAAAGAATAGAAGCAGCTCCCCAGTGCTATTTCTGGACTCTTCTTGCAGGTTCCTCCCGTAGAGGGACATGCCCGACTTAAGGCTAGCCTTAGAGGGACATGCCCAACAGGCGGATTCGTGGCGAAAAATCAAACATACTCCAAACACTTTCAAAAAGTGGTGACACATATTTAAAGCATAATCCCTTATACCATTTTTGGGCTAATGTTTGAACATTCCTCCTGTAGAGGGGCAGGCCCGACTTAAGGCTGGCCCGCGTCCTGAGGACCATCGAGCCGACCGGGGCCAGCACTGCACCGGGCCAGGGCAGACAGGGCAACGCCGCGAGCGGGGGCGGGCCGCCTCTGGGGCTCTCGCGGGGCACCAGGGCCTCTCACATCCTCCTCCCTCTTCCCTCCTCCCTCCTCCTCCTCCTCCTTCTCCTCCTCCTCCTCCTCCTCCACTTCCTCCTCCTCCTCCTCCTCCTCCTCCTCCTCCTCCACCTCCTCCTCCTCCTCCCTCCCCTCCTCCCTCCTCCCTCCTCCCCTCCTCCCCTCCTCCCCCTCCTCCTCCTCCTCTCCTCCTCCTCCTCCTCCTCCTCCTCCTCCTCCTCCTCCTCCCTCCTCCCTCCTCCTCCTCCTCCCTCTCCTCCTCCCTCTCCTCCTCCTCCTCCCTCCTCCTCCTCCTCCTCCTCCTCCTCCTCCTCCTCCTCCTCCTCCTCCTGTTCTTCTTCTCCTTCTTCTTCTTCCTCCTCCTCCTCCTCCCTCCTCCTCCTCCTCCCTCCTCCTCCTCCTCCTCCCTCCCCCTCCTCCCTCTCCTCCCAGACTCCTTCTTCCTCCCCCCTGCCCCTACCCCATCCCTCTCCCCCCGTCTCCGCAGCAGCCTCGTCGAGGCGGTCTCCCAAAGTGAAATCTGCCCGGACGCGGCCGAAGCTGGCGCCCGACATTCTCCGACCGACCCCTGGAGCTCTCGCGGGGCACCAAGGCCTCTCACGTGGCCTCGCCGAGGCGGTCCCCGAGCATGCGCCCGCCGGGTGTGGCCGAGACTGGCGCCCGCAACTTCCCGACCGCGCCGGGGGGGGACCGAACGGTGGGGCGCACGAAGCCAATGCGGCTTTCCATGTCGGTCACGGGTTTTCGGCCGCACGAAGCCTTGGGTCCCAAATTCGGGCACGAAGCCAATCCGGCTTTCAATGTCGGTCACGGGTTGTCGGTCGCACGAAGCCTTCGGTCCCAGATTCGGGCACGTTTTCTCGGGGGCGCGCAAAAAACATGGATTAGCGATCCATGGATTTGGCGCGCGGTCGCTCAACACGGGATCGGGGGAGGCGCTCTCCCCACAATGCGGCCGGCGCCGCCTCGCTCGGCGGCGGGAAGCCGCGATTTCCCCGGGAACGGGACCCGTCGCGAATCCACGCCCCCTTATCCATGTTTGCGATCGCCTGAGTTTTCGGCGACCATTTTTGTTTTCGTTCACGCACCTTTGTGGCTGAGAGGGGCCGGGCGCCATGAGGCCTCGGGAACCAGCTGGGACCTACTGGGGACCTCAGATCTGGGCGTCCTGGGAACGAGCACGGCGGGCGATTCGCACTCCGCTGGCTCGAGAAGCGCGGCGGAGAGACTGGGTCGACCTCTCTGATTGTGGCCTGTTCGCGACGGTGTGACTTTTTCACGACGTCGGATCTCAGGGGAGGGGCGCGTTTGTTTCGTGCACTTGGGAATCACACAGTGCCCTCGACACTCCGCACGCCAACGGGTACCCGTAGCCACCAGAGAACTTGTAATTATCACGGGCAACCGCTGGCGGGAAATTTTCTTATCTGATTATCTGTTGTACGATTGACTTTTCCAATCTCTCCTTTACGCTTTGTTTCCCGCGCGAGCTCCCCGAGCAACGAGATTCCAACGCACCGCGGACAAGCGAACCTGGGGCCTCGCTGGGTGCAATGTTTATGGGTCCACGCTGCTTGATCCCCTGTCTCGTCGTCGCCATCTCGCGGTCGCCTTTTACGCCACCGCGGCGCCCCAGCGTGTCTGGTCCTGCCTCCCATCGCTCCTCCCCCTCCTGCCCCTCCTGCACCTCCCCCCTCCGCATCGGACACGAGCTGTCAAGAGCCACGCGCTACGAGGGCGTGGTACTCTCGGCCTAGCTCACGGTAGTCCGCCGTGAGCTCCTCCCCGGCCCTGATCCTCCGCCGAGTCACGTAAGTGTTGAAGGAGCCCTCGTCCTCCGCATCCTTGAACACAACATTGGGCTCGTCCGAGTGGTTCAAGAACCACGATATGTTCAACGAATTGAGCCCCGTGGCCAGCACCCCATACGTGGGCTCCCCGGACTCGTCCTGCTGAGGTGTCCAGCCGTCCTCCTCCGTGAGCGGCGCGAAGAACTCTTTCACCCTCTCGCGTACGGGCTCCGCGAAGTCTCGTATCTCGGCGCCCGAGAACGTGATGAACCGCTCCTCGGCTGCCAGGTGCGCGTTGCATACCTCGAACGGGTCCACCCCCTCCGCGATCTCCCTGAACCTGCACAGCAAGTGACAAGACATCTTGCCAGGAGAAAGCTAGGGGCGCATCCGATATCGGTCTTGGAACTCCCTAAGGCGCTCAAGTGTTCATCTGGGTCCCAGCCAGCGGGCATCGGGCCATATTTTATATATTTATATATACATGTGTCGAGCTCTGTACATGTGTATATGTATATATGTAAGTGTGTATATATGGTATGTACATATTATACACATGTATATATACACATGTATCTATATGTAAGTGTGTAAACATGTATCTACATATATATATATATGTATACACATGTGTATATATATATATACTAATGGTATTTGTAGCTGGGGAATATGGTATGTCCTAACTACCGTAAACTACGATACAATACACACATGTTCGGGGGGCCGCACGGATTTCTTGGGTCGGCGCTGGGACCCCCCATTCCGTTCCATCAGCGGTGCTCCAGCGCTCAATCTTGAACGCCCGCTGGGGTCGCCGCCGCATCAGCGCGGTGCGAACACGCTGTGGACACCCGCTGTCGCGAACTTGTCGTGACGTGTTCCCCTCCCCGCCGGACCCGTTGGCCCTATCCTCGAGGTTCTCGGAGGCTTTTGTGGGGGCCAGCCTCTGCGAGGGTTTCGGCCACCCCGGGGGTGGTCGGCCTTCCGTGCCTGTATTCTTTCGCAGAGCACCCGCCACGGGTGACTCCACCTCACCGCGAATTAACGGTCGCTGGAAAAACTGGGAACACCGCACACACTGACCTGCAATAAGTCAACTTATGCTATGAACCGTGGCCTGAACACAAAGCGACAATGCAGAGGTCGACCTACCTGTCGCCACTACCAACACAGAGAAGGGACAGTGGACATGTGGAACAGCCGAACATCCATCGGCCCTGTCGGCGTGTGTGAGGGGGAGCCCTGGGCTGGTCGTCGAAGGGCGGTCCTGGGAGACACCTTTCATTCGAAGCTCCTCTTAGCTCGGGCATGTCCCCCTACAGGCGGATTTTGAATAACAAAATAACAAAAACAAAAAACAAAAATCGGCAACATGGTCAAAAAATCGTCCCAGACTATGTCTTTACTGTTTTTGAATGCTCCTCCTGTGGAGGGACACGCCCGACTTAACGCTCCTCCTCCCTTACCCAGCGCCCACATTTTAATCTACCAGCACGCCAACCCGAGGTGAATTGAGCCAGGTCGCAATCGAGGTCGCAAATGATTCGAATGGAAGCCCCTTCCCTTTGATCCCTTCCCCGCCCGGGAGGGGGGGGGGTCCCTGGAGAGGGGTCCCCGCGGGGCGTCCAAGGGGGGTACCGGGTCAGAATGCTGTCCCTCCCCCTTCCGTGCTCGGGCCGCTTCACGCGAATTTCGCCCTCTTTGGGCAATTCAGGTCCAAGACGGTCCAAGAGAGGCCTGTAACAATCCAAGAGGGCTCCAAGACAGCACCAGATGCTCAAGACGGCCCAAGAGATCCCCAAGACGCCCTCAGGGGGGCTCTAAGCCGACCTCCAAGAGAGCCCCCAAATACAAAACAACCAATCGTCTCGTGTGCTTCTTGTGCACTTTCGCGCTCTCGCTTTCACGAGCTTCCAGCCGCCAGCGACGGCCCAGCCGGCCCCCGAGTCCGCCTCAAAACACGACCCACGGGACTCCCAACACGGGCCCCCAAAACAGTCCAAGAATGCCCAAGGATGCCCAAGAATGCCCCAAAACGGGGGCCCCAGGGGCCCCCCGGAGGCCCCCGAGAGAGGCCCGAGAGAGGGGCACCCGCACGAGGCCGGAGGCGCCCCCGGCGGCCGGAGCAGCAGCCGCACGGCCGGCCCGTCGACAACTCCTCGCTCTGCCGCCGACCTCTGCTGCTGCGCGGCTCCTCCAGGCCCTGTTCTCGGTGGCTCAAAGGTGGGGTCCTGAGGAACGGGGTTCAGTGGGGTTCGGGATACAGTCGGGGCGTTGACCTAAGGAACCCTACATAAGGAACGAGGCCCCTATTTTCCATAAGCTGAACTTCGATTTCGTATCGAAAACATACCACCCCGACAATGACCACCCCGGCACGCGAAGACGTTCAGTAAACGCTCCCAGAGAAGGAATCGAACAGGGCAGGGCTGTTTCGTAAACGCCCAGGGCCGTTTAGTAAACGCCAATTGTCCGGTCCGGATGTCTTTTCCTCCCTTGACTGTTTTCGGTGGTTCAAAGATGGGGTCCTGAGGAATGGGGTTGAGGATAAGAAGGGGCCCAACGGTGGATTTACATGACTTGAGGTGGACCCCATGCGTCAGGACACCATCATGGCACCACCGAATTCCCTTGCGTAGCACCCCGCGGTTGTGGGAAAGAGTGTGGGGGCTGCGGGGTCGTTCGCAAACTGCGAGGCTCTGAGGAAGCCCGCCGCGGGCGCCGATGTCCTAACGCATTGCGCCACGAGCCCGCCGCGGGCGCCGAAGTGTCGTCAACGCACGTGGGCAGGTCGAGGGTGGGTCGCGGATGGGCAACTCCTTGTCGCACCCCCCGAGCGTATCGGTAAGGCGGGCTGGGCGTTTCGCCCGAGACTTCCTCGCCGCATCTGGCCCTGCGACTTGAGAGCTGCAGCACTTTCACGGATGGAGGGCGGGTAGTTTTCAAAGTGTGGCTCTCGGCCCAGCGCCGCGCACACTCGTCCTCCGAGCCCACAACCATCTCACGGATGGAGGGCGGGCCGTTCTCAAAGTGTGGCTCTCGCCCTGACGCTGCGCACACTCCTCCTGCAAGTTTGCAGGAGTTTCACGGGTTCGGAGGGGGGCCGTTCTCAAAATGCGGCTCTCGCCCCCGCGCCGCGCACACTCGTCTTGAACTACTGCAGCCGTTGCACGCTAGGAGGGCGGGTGGCTCGTTCAGAATGTGGCTCCGGCCCGGGCGCCGCGCACCTCCGCGAGGCAACGAATGCAGCAGCTCCACGGGAGGAGGGCGGGTGTTTTTTCTTGAAAATGTGGCCATCGCCCTCAAGAGGGCACAAACGGGCCCCGAGACGCCCCAATACCGCCCCAAGACACCTAAGATGGCCCCATGATGGCCCAAGACGCTCCCAAGACGCCCCAAGAGGCCTCGAGAGGCTCCCCAAGAGGCATCATTGACTTCAAAAGCGTTTTTCAATGACTTGGGGGTCCTCGACTTTTTGGGCGCCAAACGCTCCAAGACGGCCCAAGAGGCCACCAGGACTGCCCCAAGACGGCCCAATGGAGGGCCCCAACACTGCCAAAGAGGGCTCCAAGACGGCACCAGAAGCGCCCAAGACGGCCCAAGAGGACCCAAAGACAGCACCAAGAGGGGCCCAAGAGGGGGAACACAAACCAAAAATCCGAGTCATCCGCCCCAAGAGGCCCCCAGGAGGCCCCCAGGAGGCCCCTAAGAGGCCCCCAAGAGGCCCAAAGAGACCGCCAAGGCACCCCGAAGACGCCCCAAGATGCTCCATAACGGCCCGCCTCAAACCGGCCCTCAAGAGAACCTCGAGAGGCCTCCCGCGACACCCCAACGAACATCCTAGAGCTCACGGCCTACAACCCAGACGCAGTGGCGAAATGGGCCCAAGGCCATTCGATACGCCGCCCCCTGTGGTTTTTCCAGTGCCTTGCGTGCTGACTTTTTTACGTTTTTTGGTTTTTGTATTCCCAAAACAACCCCCCCCCCCGGGGGCGTCGGTCCACTGCGCTGGCCACCCGAAAGGCCGCACAATCCACTAAACGAATTGCCCAATCGCCTCTAAGGCAACCAAGATGTCTCAAGATGGCCTCAAAGGCGGCAAGATGGTCTCCAAAACGGTCGAGACGGCCTCCAAGACGGCTAATACATCCAATACGGCCTAAGATGGCCCCAAGATGGCCCAAGATGGACAAATAGGCCCAAGATGGACAAGATGGCCCAAGAGGCCTTCAGGAGGTTCTCCAGGAAGGCCCGAAGAGGCCCACATCATTGATTTTCAGTTGGTTTTTGAAGGATGTTGGTATTTGTTTCGTTTCGGCCTTCCGACGGCCCAAGACGGCCCAAGAGGCCCCCAAGATCGCCCCAAAGTCGCCAAAGAAGCCTCCATGACGGCCTCATAATTAACGCCCAAGAGGCCTCCAGGACGCCCAAGATGGCCTCCAAGACGGCCATGAAGCAGCCCAAGAAGGCTCCAAGTCGGTTCAGAGAGGCCCCCAAGACGGCTCCCGACGGCGTGAGACAGGACAGGAGCGCCCTAAAACTGCCAAAGAGGCCCCCAAGAAGAACCGAAAGGCACCAAGAGGCCCAAGGACGCCCCAAGAGTCCCTCAGGGAGCTCCCAGGAGGCCTTAAGAGTGCCCCAAGAGGCTCCATAGAGGCCACCTCCTCGTACTCCACCTCTTCCTCCTCCACTTCCTCCCTCTCCTCGTCCTCCCTATCATCCTCCCCTAATTGTTTCCCCAAGAGTTTCCTGAGCGGCTGGGGGAACACATAGTCCGGTAGTTAGGCCAAGCTGGGGCCCAACGTTTAACCACAGAGGCGCTTCCCCAAAGGCAGGGGTCGGCGGTGACTCGCCGCATGCGTCTTCGACATGTATCTGTGCATGCATGTCTGCATGAAGGTATGTATACATGTATGGATGCATGTATATATGTTTGTATGTGGGTGTGGTTGTATGTATGCACGTATGCATGTGTGCACGTATGTGTACATGCATGCATGCATGTACGTACGTACACACGTATGCACGTATGCATGCATGCATGTATAGTTGTATGTATGGATGTCTGAATGTACGTATGTAAGCAGGTTTGTCTGTGTGCCTGCCAGCCTGACTGTCTATTTGCCTGTCTGCCTGCCTGCCTGCATGCATGCATGTATGTTTGTATGATTGTAGGTCTGCATACATGTATGTTGTGTTGTGTTTATGTATACAGGTATGTATGCATGCATTAATGCATGCATGCATGCATGCATGTATGTATGTATGCATGCATGTATGTATGTATGCATGTATGTATGTATGTATGTATGTATGTATGTATGTATGTATGCATGTATGTATGTATGTATGTATGTTTGTATATATGCATGTATCCATGTATATATGTATGCATGCATGCATGCATGCATGTATGTATAGGCATGTGCATGTATGTATGTGTGTAAATATGTATGCTTGTATGGATGCATGTACGTGTGTATGTATGTACTTATGTATGTATGTATGTATGCATGCATGCATGCATGCATGCATGCATGTATGTATGTATGTATGCATGTATGTACGTATGTATATCCTATGCGTGCATGTCTTTCCTCATCCCGTCACGGGTCCAGGCCGTCGATGTTAGACCGCTTCCGTGGGTTTTGGGGCTCAAGAATTCGTACCAAGGCAGTGCGTATGGATTACTGGCTCCCTGCCGCCCCGTACACTTGGCAGGGAGCGTTCGCCTATCTCCTGGGCGGCAACCTGCAGAGGTGCCCACCTGTCCACGTCCCTTCTTGCCCTGCCATACCGAGCTGTGTGTGCCCGCCGTGCCCTGGCTGCCCGACGTGCCCCGGGGGCTCCCCCGCTCCCGCCACGCCATCGGCGAACGGAGGGGGCAGCAGCGAGCCGAGACAGCCCTCCTCCGTCTGTGGTGCTGGTGAACGAGGGTCTCTTGCTGGTCCTGGCGCTGGCCTACGGCGCTTTGTCGTGGAACCGTGTCGGGCTGACGTGCTGCCGCCGCAAGGCTGGCCGTGCTGAGCGTGGGGCCAGTGGGAGGAGCACCTCATGGGATGCTCCAGGGAGCGTTGGCCCACTACGAAGGAGAGCTAATGTGGCCCCAGCGTCCGTTCCAGGGCGACGGGTGTGGACTCGACTGGAGAGAGTCACTGAGTGGATGGTGCTTGTCCTTGCGGTGGTCAATGACGTCTATGAGGAGGATTACTCACGCCAGGGGAGAGGCATCGCTGCGGTGAGGTTCACATCAGACCGTGTAGCTCTCCCGCCAGGCGTCGGTGCCGTCAACTCGTACAGGTTCAGATGGAACCGCACGGTGGCTCAGATGCAGCAGACAGACCAGACCGCGCTGGACTACGGCACCGACGCTCTGGTCGCCGACCACCTGCGCCTGCGGCAGCCGGCGCCGGGCGGACCGTTCGTCGTCCCGCTGACCTTCGGTCCCGCAGGAGACGTTGGGCCTGGCGCGGGCGCTGGGCCAGCCGCCGCAGGCGCCGCGGCCCCAACGGCAGCTGCGCTGGGCGCCCCAGCGGTGTGGCCCGCTGGCGCCCTGGCCGTGCCTCCCCTCGCTGGCGGAGCGGCCCCAGGCGGCGCAGCCGCGGCGGGGCCGGGGGTTGCGGCCCCGGCGGCTGGAGCGGCGGTGTGGGTGCTGATCGAGTCGACCACGGCGGGCCAGCGCGGTACAGTTGTGGTCCCGCCCGCTGGCTCGTATCTCCGCGGGGCCGCCCGCTGGATGCCGCTGGCTGATGAGACGTGGGTGGCCATCCGCTCGGTCTCCGAACCCGCGCAGATCTGCGCAGGCAGGGAGGCCACTCTTCCGACGCCAGGCTGACGAGGAGCACCGTCGCGAACCCAGCGGTTCCGAGCAGCAGGCTCTCGAGGCAGTGGCACGATGCGGTGGCCAGCTTCACAAAGGAATCGTTCGTGGACTGGCACTTTCCTGGCCCCCGCGTGTGGTTCTGGCGCGGTCAGGTCGTAGACCGACGCCAGGGCGGTCCGCTCGACCGCATCGGGTTCTGGAGGTTCGCCCTTGGGCTGTCGGCCGAGGACTACGGAGGCGGCCGCTGCGAGGCGAACATGCGGGCCATCTACCCTTTTCTCCTGCTGGGACGGCCTCGACCTGCCGAACCCGACGGGAGTGGAGCAGATGTTCAGGACGTGCTTGAAGTACGACTACGTGTACGACGTGGATCGGGATCCTTACCTCGGCGCATCCCCTGTCGGAGGCGGAGGCGACGAGGGGAACGACAAGAAGAAGAACCGAGGCCGTGGACATGGCGGTGGACGCTAGATCCTGCTGAGCTTCGGGTTCATCGACGATGGCGCCGTCTTCACGGGTCTCCTTCGAGACCATGGGGAGAGCATGATCTGCCCCTTGCTCCATGAGCACGAGACGAAGAAGGAGGAGAGGGACGCTTCGGTGCTGAAGAAAGTTCGCAAGGCCCGCGAGGAGCAGCGGGCCTTGCAGTCCAGGCGAGTCCACGACCACGCGTGCCGCTTCCCCCCGGCGGTGCGCGTGTTTTCGGAGGGGGGCCCAGCGGCGGAGGCCCGCCGCCCGCTGGTGAATTGTACTCGTTGGGCGATCGTGCTGGACGACAGCGCGATCTATTTCCACTGCCAGGCCCCGGTCAACAGCATCGGGCAGCTTCGGAGGCGCAGGGCATCGCTTGTTCACGTTCGGTGGCGCGTCGGGTTCTCCGCAAGGGCCACGCCGACTCGATGGAGGGCGAGATCGTTCGGACCCTCAACGAGCTGCACCTCGGCCAGCCCTGGCACCCCGCCAGCCATCCTCAGTCCATCGCTGCGGGCCAGCGGCTGGCCCAGGACAACGTTCGAGACGCAGTCCGACGGTTCGGCTCTCCCCCGGAGGGATTGACTGGCTCAGGAGCCCTTGAGGAGCTCCGAGCTCTCAGCGACTATGCTGGCGAGAGCGCCACCGTCGCTCCGCTCGACTTTGATAATATCAATAGTCTCTCGCTTCCAGACGAGGGTTTCAAGCCCGTGCCGCTTGACGCGCTGGGAGGGGATGCTGGCCGTAAGATAGCCGAGCGGCTTCATGGTATGATGTTGTCCCAGTCTGAGGGTCGTGCTCGGATCGAGTCTGAGGGCCCCGGGAAGCTCTACACCGACCCGGCGCTGAGGAACCCCAAGCTGTATGTCCAGCTGCTGCGGATCCTCGAGCGTCGGAATCTTCTCGGCTTCTACAAGGACAAGTGTTGCAACGTAGGTGCCTTCTCCGTTTGCAAGAAGTCGGGTAAGCTGCGGCTCATCCTGGATGGCAGGCACGCCTCTCTGCAGTTCCAGGTCCCCGACAAGGTCGATCTAGCGTCGGGTGCGACTTTCGCCGGCCTCCACGTGGACGGGGGCAAGCCCATCGCTGTGGCGGAGGTCGACCTGGCGGACGCGTTCTACACGATGCTGCTGCATCCGAAGTTCAGGAGGTACTTCGCGCTACCTGGCTGCCGCGCGGGGTTGCTGGGCCTCGAGAGCACCGCGGACGGGCGGCGCTTGGCGGGGACCGACCTGGTGTACCCGTGCTTCAGGTGCCCCCCGATGGGCTGCTCCTTCAGCCTGTGGATCTGCCAGGCGATGCTGGACGGGATGGCTCTGAAGGTGCCCCAGCTCTCCCTCGCGAACCGCTTCGTGGACCGCCGACCTGTGCCGCAGGTGTCCGAGGGTGTGTTTCATACCGAGTGCGTGGACAATGCGATCAGCCTCTCTACAGACTTGGAGACGGCGGCCGCCGCTGCGTCGGCCGTGGACCCGAACCTTCGTGCAGCGGGACTCCCTACTCACGGAGTCGAGTGCAGTTTTGGCGCCGTGGCACTGGGCTGGCAGTTCGAAGAGAAGTCTCCGATTATCGGGCTGAACCCAGCGCTCCGCTGGAAGCTGAGGTTGGCCTTCGTGGAGCTGTGCCGGAATGGATATGCCTCGGGCAAGACGATCTCGCGCGCGGTGTCTCATTTCACCTCGCGGGGTCTGATTCGCCGAGAGTTTTTGTCCGCTCTCAACTCGCTATGCGCTTTTTCTGCCCACTATGGAGGCCGCGCGGCGTGGCTGTGAACCTCTTGCCTCCGCGAGCTTCGTTGGTGCGCCAGTCTTGGCGTGTTCTGTTTCAGGGACGCTGGCGCCTCGTTCGACAGCGCGCTCACGATGGTGGACTCATCGTGGTGGGGAGTTGGAGTCACTCAGAAAAAGTCGTCTGCCCCAGTCGCTCGTGAGCTCTCCAAGTAGAATGAGAGGTGGATATTCAGTACTCATCAGGAGTCCGAGATGTCGCATCGGCCCCACGCCTTCAAGTCGGCGACCTCCGCCGACCCCTTCACCCCTGAGTCGGTCCTCACCATCGACTGCTCCGGGAACCCGAAGGCCCCGATCAAGGAGTCCCTGGAGGTGCCCGTAGAGGAGCCCGTCAAGGAGTCCATGATGAAGGGGGTGCACGTGGAGGAGGAGATGGTCAATGACATCGAGGAGGAGGAGGAGTTCCCCGAAATCCCATACGACGTCTGGGCGAAAGGCTGGGTCCCGGTGGTGTCTCATCGCTGGGGTCGTTCAGAGCATCAGGTTGTCTTGGAGGCCCGCGGTATGGTCGTGGCCGTTCGTCATATCCTTCGACGCGTCTCATCACTCAACCGATGCCATCTTTGCTTGGGCGACTGTTTGGGAGCCATCCTGGCCGCCACCAAGGGGCGTTCGTCGCGGCGGGAGATGGGCCGCGTGTGCCGGCAGCTGGCGGCCCTTTCGTTGGCTAGCGGCGCTGCCTTCTTCTGGCGCTGGGTCACTTCGGAGAGGAACTCGGCCGACCGCGCCTCCAGGAACCTGCCGGGCGTGGGCTACGCGTCCGCGGCGGCCGACCCCTGCTGCCTCGGCGCTGCCGCTGGCCGCCCCAGCCGTGTGAGCGGGCACGGAGGACCTGCTGGCGAGAGCTGGGCCGACATCGGGCCCCCGCCCGGCCTCGAAGAGGAGGCTTGCTGGCCCTCTGTCTGGGCGAGCCTCCGCGATGGCAGCCGCAAGCCTGGCGGTGCCTTGGGAGCTGGCAGCCGAGTCGCTGGTCCGCCCGGGGCGGGCGAGCCGCCGCCAGGCGAGGCAGCCCCGGGGCTGGAGCTGGCGGGATCGGCTCCAGCGGTCGTTCCTCGAGCTGAAGGCCGTGAAGGACAGGGCCACCTTGAGCTACCAGGCCCGATGCCGAGCTTTCCTGACTTGGTCGACGAAGGCGCGCCTGTCGGTGGCGAGCATCACGGACCTGTGGGCCGACTGGAAGGTGGCGAACGACTCCCTGGCCGCCGCCCGAACGGCCGTGCTGACTTCCGTCCTCGGCCTGGGGCCGTCGGAGACGCTGTCGCTGCGCGTCCAGTCAGTCGTGCAGTCGGTCCGGGCTGGTCCACAGCATCTGGGCATGTACTCGATCCTGCTGCTTCCCGCGAAGCTCAGGGTGATGTCGAAGACCCAGGGCCGCGACACCAGTCTCCAGGTGGACAACCAGGAGTTCAGCGGGGTCGACCCGCTGCTGGTTTGCCTCGTGGAGAGACGTGCGGTCGACGCGCCCCTGCTCTACCTGGACATGATGTTCTGGGTGCGGGCGCTCCTGCAGGCGGGCGCCGCCCTCGGACTGGGTGCCCTCAGCCCTCCAATGCTGTGCCAACTGCGCCACGGGGGGGCCAGCCCCGGGTGGCCGACGAACGCCTGGGAGTTCGGCAACATCCGGAAGCGCAGGCAGGGGGAGGCCGTCAGGAGCCTCATGCAGTACGCGAGAGACGGTCGAGTTCAAGTGGAGCTGCGGCGTCTGCAGCCCGTCCTACAGCCTCGGGCCCTCGTTTGCGTCGTGACTATGGGAGGCACCCTGTGCAGAATCTGAGCTCCTGGGCCCACCTGACCGACTCGAAGGTGTACCTGGAGATCTTCAGTGGCTCTGGGAACTGGTCCCGGGCGCTGCGGCGGAGCATGACTTCTCGCCTGGCGCCGCGGGTCTTCGAGCTGGACGTGGAATATGAGCCCACCGTCGGTGACCTCAGCCGACGGCGAGCCCAGTGCGTGGTGCGCGGGTGGCTCCGTGGTGGCCTGCTGCAGGGCGTCTGGCTTGGGATGCCCTGCAGCTCCTGGTCACGGGCAAGGAATCGGCCCAACGGGCCACCACCCCTGCGGGACGCCGCCCACGTGCTTGGCCTGCCCAACCTGTCGTCGGCTGACTCCCTCAAAGTCGAGACGGGCAACAGGCTATCGCAGTTCTCTTTCAGCCTCTTTTTGGAATGTGCCAGGCGCGGAGTCCCCGCTGCGATCGAGAACCCTTCCACCTCGTGGGTCTGGCAGACCCGCTGGGCCCAGCATGCTGCGCGCCAGCCAGGGGTTAACACCGTGGAATTTGAATTTTGCACCTTCGGCACAGCTTGGAGGAAGAGGACCCGTGTGATATATGCTCATCTCAATTTTGACTCGATCAGCTCTTGCAAGTGTGCAGGGCGTGGCCTTTGTTCTTTCACACGCCGTCCACACCGAGCTCTGGAAGGCAAGACGCCATCCGGAGCATTCCGGACAAAGATTGCCGAGCCATGCCCGCCCAGCTTGTCCAGTGCCCTTGCCAGAGCCTATCGTGAAGCTAGATTGTCATCCACGCACCAAGTCGTGGTGCGATTGGCGGCCTAGGGCCAGTTATATCTTCGGAGAGATGTTTCGAGGTCGCTTTTGTTTGTCCTGGCCTCCCGCGTCTCTCTCGACGCGGATGGATGGTGCGCTCTGGCTGGACAACGTTTGCGAACAGACACTGTCGAGATGCTGGCCTGTAAATAGAGCGAGGTCGAGGATATCCTATGCGTGCATGTCTTTCCTCATCCCGTCGCGGGTCCAGGCCGTCGATGTTAGATCGCTTCCGTGGGTTTTTGGGCTCAACCCTGCCCACCCACCCTTGAGCCTTGTAAGCCCTGTCCGTCTGTCGCAGGAGGTCGCTTTTGTTTGTCCTGGCCTCCCGCGTCTCTCTCGACGAGGATGGATGGTGCACTCTGGCTGGACAACGTTTGCGAACAGACACTGTCGAGATGCTGGCCTCGAAATAGAGCGGGATCGAGGATGTATGTATGTATGTATGTATGTATGTATGTATGTATGTATGTACGTACGTACGTCCGTACGTACGTACGTATGTATGTATGTACATATGTATATATGTGTGTATGTGTGTATGTGTGTATGTATGTGTGTGTAGGCATGTAACATGTATGTATGTATTCATGCATGCATGCGTGCATGCGTGTATGTATGTATGTATGTATGTATGTATGTATGTATGTATGTATGTATGTATGTATGTATGTATGTATGTATGTATGTATGGATGTGTGTATGGATGTGTGTATGTATGTATGTATGTATGCATGCATGCATGCATGCATGCATGCATGCATGCATGCATGCATATATGTATGTATGTATGTATGTATGTATGTATGTATGTATGTACGTATGTATGTATATAGGGATATGCGAAGAGATAACTTTGAGGGAGTGATTATTGCAACATCGTTGATGCGTCCTCGGTTTGCTCTGGTCCTCCTCCTCTTCGTCCACGTCCTCCTCCTCCTCCTCCTCCTCGTCCTCGTTCTCATCGTCGTCTTTGTCCTCGTCCTCGTCCTCCTGCTCGTCCCCTTCCTCATCCTCGTCCTCGTCCTTCTTCGTACTTCGTCCTCCACGTCCTCCTCCCCGTCCTCGTGCTTGTCCTACAGTCGGCGTTGATTGGACAGGACACGCGAGAGGACACAAGACCCTTCCGAGGGCCACATCGCCGTAGGAGGGTAAGAAGGCACGTGTCACGAGGCACAGGACACAAGGGTACCCTTGAGCTGGCAGGGTAATGCGGGCCGAGTGTACTCGTTTCTGCGTTGCGCCAACGTGTTTCGACTTGGAGCGCCGCGCCTCTTTTCCTCCTCATCCTGGTCCTCCTCCTCCTCCTGCTCCTGGTCCTCCTCCTCCTCCTCCTCCTCCTCCTCCTCCTCCTCCCCCTCCTCCTCCACATCCACCTCCTCCTCCTCCTCCTCCTCCTCCTCCTCCTCCTCCTCCTCCTCTCCTCCTCCTCTCCTCCTCCTCCTCCTCCTCCTCCTATTCTTCCTCCTCCTATTCTTCCTCCTCCTCCTCCTCCTCCTCCTCTGCCTCCCCCCTCCAGGGATGCTTTTTTCAATTCTTCGGCACATGTTCACGGCCGCCGGGGCCCAGAGCGGGCTCGAGCACGGGGACGCCCTGTTCGTCTTCGGCTTTGGGTGGCGCGCCGGAGCCGAGGGTCCCTGGACGTCTCCAGAAGTCATCGCAGGCCCCCTGGGGCCCGTGCACGGCCATCAAACGACGTGCCCGATGAGGTCACGAGACCCCTTGCCCCAGGTAGCTGTCCATCCTGGGTCCGTCTGCAGTGGCCAGGCGCCCCGCCAGGAGCCCCATCTGGAGGACGACAGTGCGGCACCACGCCCGCCTTGAGAGAGGCACTCCTCCGGTCCCCGATCCCGGGCGGAACGCGAAGACGCCCACGCCGGCGATCGTCGAGGGCCCCAGGTGCACCGACGCCTCCTCCAGAGGAGAGGCAGGGGGGGGGAGGACCAGCGCTCTGACTGAGGAGGGGAGTTCGGCCACCCTGGGCCTCTAGCCGCATCCCCTTCTAGGGGGCTTTCTTGGCAGGCGGGGCCGACCACGGAGACGGGCGGATGGCACCATCTCGTGAGAACATCCCTGGCATTATGAAACCTCGCTCGGATTACCCCCCTTGGGGTCGGCGGGGCCATACTCAGTTAGTTATTTCATAAGCTGAGCCAGGGGGATCGGAGCTCTCAAAATGATTGGCGAATTCGCTGCCCCCTTGGGATGTCTTCCCTCCATGGCACGCTGCTTCTGTAAACGTCGACCGTGGTTAGGGGGCTCTCCTGGGCAATCATCTGCTAGGCCTCGGGTGCTCTCTGTGCAGGCGCCACAGGTCCAGCACAAAATCAAACTGAGGGGACTGCATGCGTCTTCATAGCCAAAAAAAATAAAGATTGTGACCTCGAGGGTTGCATACCAGGTTGCTGTGAGCCTCACAATAACCATGGCATTCCTCTTGGTCTCGTCTAGCCTTGGCTGCGCTGGCGACAGGCGGCGCAACTCTGGCGACAGGCGGCGCACATGAAACGCTTTCCCCAGGGGTGTTATTGGTGCTTCCTTCGTTCGAGGACAGGGTCAATGGGGAGGCCTCGGCGGAGGAGGAGGAGGGATCAGGCCCCACGAAAGGCCAGCCGCCGCCGCCGCCCCATTGGGCGGGTTCAGACACGAAATCGGTTTCTCGAACACTTTCGCACCCATCCTGGGGGCGACTGGAGGCCAAATCTGCAGGGCTTCCGCTACATAACTTAGATGTTTCACTAGTAGTTCGTTCTGGGCGTCTTGCAAATGGGTCTCGTGTAGACTTGGTTGGGAGGGGAGGAGGAGGAGGAGGAGAAGGAGGAGGAGGGGGAGGATGAGGACGGAGACGGAGGAGGAGCAGGGAGGACGAGGAGGAGGATGAGGAGGAGAAAAGAAGAGGAGGAGGAGGAGAAGGAGGGAAAGGAGGAGGAGAAGGGGGAGGAGGGAGAGGAGGAGGTCGTCGCACTCCTGTCATGGTGTGGGCTCCTAGGGATCCTGACCTCCTCCCGCGCAGCTGTCGACTGCGTCGTCGTCGTCGTCCGTCGTCGTCGTTCGTCGTCGTCGTCGTCATCGTCATCGTCGTCGTCGTCCGTCGTCGTCGTCGTCGTCGTCCGTCGTCGTCGTCCTCGTCGTCGTCGTCGACGTCCGTCGTCGTCGTCCTCGTCGTCGTCGTCGTCGACGTCCGTCGTCGTCCGTCGTCGCCGTCGGCGTCTCCGTCGTTGTCGCCGACGTCGTCGTCAGTCGTCGTCCGTCGTCCATCGTCGTCGTCGTCGTCGTCGTCGTCCGTCG